ATATCAAGGTTCTTCATAGAAAAGGTCATAAGATATACATACACGAAGATCAAAAAGACACAAATATGGTAAAACTAAACTCAAATTTGAAAAAATCACGAATTTCAATTTTGCTTTAAAAAAGCAATTGTTCTATATCTATGTAAAGTGCATGAGAAGCACATTAGAAAACCGAAAAAATTAACCCTCTAGGATAATTAGGTCACGTGCTAGAGCAGTCCAAAGTTGCGAATTTGGCTTTTTACGGATAGCTATAAAACCGGAAGTACATGTCGGAGGTCAAAGGTCAAAGTATCAAATGATAGCCAAGGTCAATGACCTTTGACCCTATAAATGTCAAGGTCATCAAAGGTCAAGGTCACGAGATATACGCCATCAAATATTGAAAAAATTCAATCGCAAATTGCAAAAAAGCAAAATCGAAATTCAAAAATCGGCTTCCTGCGATCTCTCTTAATTTTTATGTTCTTTCATTTGACACCAAAATTTTGAAATTCGGTTCAGCCAAATTGGCTGAATAAAAATCGAAGAGTTTCAGGGAAATCAAAATGGCGGCCAAAGTTTCACGTCTGTTCCGGATTTTTTTTTCTTCGTTTTTTTGTCATAACTTTGTCTATCTATAAGCATAAATTTTTTTGTCCTATACAAATTACACCGGAAGATATTCAACCGGAAGTGAACATCGATTTCCTGTTTAAACCGGAAGTGAAATTGAAAATTTTACTGTACCATTTTGTTTACTTTCTTTAACTGTCTTTGCTCAATTTTTTTCAGATTAATCAGACAAAAAGCAAAAAAAATGAAAAAAATGCAAAATTTGGCAAAAAAAATATCTGCGACAAATTTTCGAATTTTGAAATTTTGAAACTGCTATTCTTTCAGATTTTGCCAGTAGATTCCAAAAATGCAAACCCAAAGAAAATCGACCGAAAAATACGACTTCTAGAGCCGATTAACTATTCTTGCTCATATTGAACTGTGGCACTTCCGGTTTTGCAAAAAAGATCCAAAATATATTTATGCACATCGTCGCCTATATCTAAGGTTCGTGAATATTGAATGGTTGCTGCAACTATTGTAGTCTAAGCTCAGGAAGGTGTGTAAATTTCGAAAAAAAAAAAAAAAAAAAAAAAAAAAAAAAAAGAATTGACATTTCGATAACAAACTGAAAGCAAAGTCCCACAATAAAAACATACCTAATATTGTTTGAGTTAATATTCCTATCAGTAACACAACTATCGCCATTTTAGTTTAAGGTTCTAATATATTTGATATAAGCTAGACAATCTATATTACTTCCTCATTCATATACAGGGGTGGAAGTTTAAAAAGAAAAGAAAAACAAGTATTCTATTACGAAAATGACTATTCACATGTAAATAAATCAGTTGTATAGTCAATGACTTACCTGTGGTATTGAACCATGACTATTCACTATACCATTTTAGCTAGATAGAGTGAAGTTTATTGCATTAGCATCGTTATAATATTATACAATAACTGTCGTTTACGTTTATACATAAAACATGAAACATTTATTCTTTACCTAACGTTTTCTGAACGATCATAGGACTTACTTAATGTTTTTTTTTTCTTTGCAGTTAAAATACAAATGTGACGTCACCCTTTGATCTTTGCTGATCAATATCCAACTTACTGGTACGGGCATCGTGCAAAGAGTACACTATTTTTTTAAATATGGCGGCAAATTTTGGACTGCTGTGACGCAAAGGGGTGAGAATGGCGTTATGAACTTTGGTTAATGTGGGACCTTAGAGCTAAAAATCGGAAACCGGTGATCCTGACAGAACTTTTGTTATCAGGCCCCTCAGCAGTAATTTAGGATGAGGATTTATTTCCACTGATTGACCCACTACGTCGGTCTTCGGAACAGCCGTGCTGGATCTCTTCCTCTTTGGTTTGGTATCCTTGGTTGATGGTTGTTGATTTGTGACGTGGTCGGCACATACTTTGGATACTGCGTCCATGACGTCTTTCGGGTTGATTTCACCAGCCTTGGTTCTTGAACTGATTGCTACTGCGACCAACCTGCAACAGAAATCAAAAAAATTAGTCTCATCCTTAAACTCCGGCGTGAATCCTTTCGGAGTTTGAGCCGGGGCCGGTTTGGGGCATTCGACCACGGGCTTGGGGGCAGCGGACACCGTGTTGGCCGAGACGTGATGGCGAACTTCTTGGGAGGATAAATTGTAGGTGTGCTGTATCCTTATTTCCGCACTTCTTGACAGGAACGAAGGACATTGTACGGAGTTGCTGGAGTGGATATCACTCAGACAATTCACGCACCGAACCTTCTTGGACTTGCACAGCTTGGTTTTGTGCCCCTCTCCACACTTTTCGCAGCAAATTTTGCTTCGACAGAACTTCTCCAAATGACCCAACTTCTGGCATCTTCGTGCCTTGGAGATGTGTGGGTGGAGCTGGTACCTGGAATATAAAAGGGGAAGAGGACCATTAGGTACTTTCCCGCTGGCGAAAGTTAGTTGGACAGTCCTAACGGACTTGCCCTCTCGAGGTTTGTAGAGGTAAAGCCCCTCTACTGCGTGATTGTGAAGCTTAAGGTCCTCCAGCAACTCACCCTCGGAGTACTCATTTATGGCGTCCCGTTCCGTTTTGTTGGAGGTGGACATGGCCGAGTCCACCTTCATCCCACACAGTGCGGTTTGGTTGGCAGCATAAACCTCATCTGCCAGGAACTCAAAGTTCAGCCTCACGTTACCGTTAGCCAGGACTTTGACCTCTGTAAGAGAGCTATACTTCCACTCTTTCCGGATGAAGTCGCCGATAACCTTCGACTTCGTGCTACCGAAAGTTTTGCCCCCGCTTGGCTTCACTATCACTACATTTGAGAATTCCGGCCTTGCTACCCTGGGTTGCATGGTAGCAGCTGGCCGACTCGCAATATCGGCATAGCTAACCTTGGTGGTTTGTTGGGAAGTGGCCATTTTGACTGAAAATGAAGGTTTAATTAGTACAAAAAAAATGAGAAAATACAATAAGAAAGATAATCGATATCTATCAAGAATGCCTTGCAGACTGTGCAAAAATTGATAGTATAAAATGAAAAAGAGAACAACGAAACAAAACGAAACCTAGTGAAAGCTTTGTGAGGACAGCTTGAATTTCTTCCGCCAAAGAAATTGTCGGCCGCCCAAAGAAATGAATAAAAAGGAACGAACTGGAATGTCTTACGAAGATAAACAGGTGGAGGTAAGGGCTAGATCAACAGTTTGGCATGAGTAATATATATATATAGTAATTTAAAAAAATCTTTTCATATATTCATTAAAAAAACGTACTTATAAATCCTAACATGATTTTTTCTTCTTTAAATATACATAGAGGCTTCATAGGCAAATTACACCATATATTAACAGACTGATATCATTTGTCTGCAGGAAACTGGGACAATCTCGGACCAAGATATTCTTGATCTTGAGGCTATCTCAGACTACACCCTGGTTAGATCCATTGGACCCAGTGCCATCTGTAGAGGTGTTGCCATTTTATACAAAAAGTCCATTGGACCCATCCACACCATCCTGAACCCTCAATTAGTAGGTAGATTCCTACACATCAAGTGTACTGTACATTTTTTAACATCGCTGACATCTATATTATTACTGGGGATTTCAACTTAATTGAAACAAAAGGATTCAAAAACAGATACGTGGAAAAACCAACCTCCACTTGCTCTCTCCAAACTCTCGGATATCAAGTCAGACTTTTTATTACATGAGAGCTTTCGCCATTTGTATCCGAGAACTAAACTATTCACATTTGTCAGGGGTGACACTGGAACTCGTATCGACCGTCTGCTCCTCTCTAAACATCATCTAAATTCCCTTAAAAAATAGAACATAACAACATCTCATACTCCGACCACAAATCGTTAACAGTGGAAGTGGGACTAGGGTCAAGCGGCTGGGGTAAAGGCAAGTGGAAACTCAACACCACACTACTTGACGAGCCCCAGTACATCGCACTAATCACAGAATTCTGGTGCTTCTGGCAGTTACAAAAGCCAGACTATCCTGACCAGCTTATTTGGTGGGAAACGGGGAAATGCCACATCAAAGACATTTCAATACAGTATAGTCGATGTCGATCTAAAAAAATCTCAGGGATAAACTCCTACAGTTAGAGAACCAAAAGATCGACATCGAAAATACTCATGACCTAAATAACGATCACGTTGGCAACATCCACCGCTGACTGATCGATGAAATTAAGTTGTTACAAAACACCATGAACAAAGGGACGTTAATCCGATCAAAAACTCCCTTTGAAACTAGCGATGAAGCAAATTTAGATATTTTTAGAAAAGTTGAGTTGGACAAAAAAGTTGGTTCCAAAAAGCAATTAGATAAAATTTCAGATATCACCGGCAAAATTCATACTAATAAAACAGATATTCTTAAAGCAGTTCAATCTTTCTATACAACCCTCTACACATCCGACTTCATCGCTAGGGACGTAATAACGGACTACATCGATCAGTACGAGGTCAATAGTCTACCGCCAGCAGAACAAACAAAAATCAATAATATTCTTATTACTAAATCAGAACTTTTTACAGCATTGAATGGGTTTCAAAACAAATTCCCGGGGATCGATGGGGTTCCCATGGAATTCTACTGCAAGTTTTGGCCCATTCTGCAGGACGATCTTCATGATACCATCAATAATATTTATTTTAGACATGAACTCTTTGACAGCATGAAGACGTCCATACTAACCATCAATTTCAAAAATAAAGGCTCAAAACCTGATTAAAAAACTACAGACCCATATATCTGCGA